AACGACTTTGTCCAAAGTATACCAACATTGTCCAAACTGTACTGATTTTGTCCAAAGTATACCGACATTGTCCAAACTGTACTGACTTTGTCCAAAGTATACCGACATTGTCTAAACTGCACTGATTTTGTCCAAAGCATACCGACATTGTCCAAACTGTACTGATATTGTCCAAAGTATACCGACATTGTCTAAACTGCACTGATTTTGTCAAAAGTATACCGACATTGTCCAAACTGTACTGATTTTGTCAAAAGTATACCGACATTATCCAAACTGTACTGACTTTGTCCGAAGTGTTATGACATTGTCCGAAGTGCAGTCACATTGTCCGAAGTGCACCTACATTGTGCATAGTGTACCAACATTGTCCAAAGTGTACCAACTTTGACTAAGGTTTTGCCAAGTTTGTCCAAAGTGTACCAACATTGTCCAAAGTATACCAACACTGTCCAAAGTGTACCAACATTGTCCAGAGTGTACCAACTTTGTCCAAAGTGTCCTAACATCATCCATAGTGTACCAAAATTGTCCAAAGTGTACCAACCTTGTCCAAAGTGTACCAACACTGTCCAAAGTGTACCAACATTGTCCAGAGTGTACCAACTTTGTCCAAAGTGTCCTAACATCATCCAAAGTGTACCAAAATTGTCCAAAATGTACCGAATTTATCCGCGAAAAGTGATTTCACTTTAGGCGACTATCTAAGCGACAAACCGATCGTAGCCGGGTTGTATCTCCCGGTCTATCCCTCTCGTAAAAAACTCGCACGAACCTTTCGGAGGTAACAAAGATTATTACGGGTGGCCGGTCCGTTTCGGGGACAGCAAAAAAGTTTTGTAATTACACGGGCCATCCGGGTTGTTCGTTCTTTTCGTCGGTTAAACAGGGCGTGTACGAACGTTTTGGCTCGGTAATAATCGAATCTCGTCAAGAACAGCTAGCCGGTGATCGTTCAATTTTCTGCGCCGTCCAGTCACCGTCCCGAGAAACCGAGCCGAGAAACCGCTCGAGCGTGCGTTTGTTCGCGGACTCGATAACAGCTGGTCCGAGTTAATTAATGGCGAAGACGTCGAGCAAAAAGAGCGAAAAATATCGGACCAGATAACAGCCAGAGATGTTTCGGTGCGTGCTCGCGTGATTTCGCGCGCGACAGAAACTGCGAGGACCTCCTTCGTGGCTCGCCATGCATATTGTGCTCGTTAAAGGAAATAATCGCGTCGAGATCGGAGTAAAAATTCGAGTAAGGACCTATCTAATCTCCGGGGAGAACCGCGATCGGCATTCGGGATCCCTCCGTGTTCCCAGGACTCGATCATTAGGAACCTCGCGGCGCAAAGATATTCTTCGTTATCTGCCAACGAACCGAACGAGACGAACGAGGAAAGAAAGTCGATCAGCGAATTTTAATTGAAGATTTAATGAACATACGACGGGAGTACGACTCTCCGACGATTCGATAATGATTTTCGTGCCTTTGAGGCCACGCTGATCGTGCCTTTGATTCCTGCTCGATTTATGAGACCGCAAGAAGTGCATTTCGATAGTCCCGAGCTTCCATTAATTCAGAGCTGGTCTGCGTATCGCTGATTCGGAAGAAATTTATGGACGGAGGGAAATCGATTTCAGTTATAGGGAAGATGCTTTGAAATTCACTTTCTCTATTCCGAAATTTTTTAATTCTTTAATACTTCAAGTTTCGAGGCTTTTCTTTTTAAGGAAAGGAAACTCGAGTTTATATGATGAAAGTTTCTACTTGACAAGATTCTAGATACTTAGTATGTCGGAAAAATAACTTTTAAGAAAAGAAAAAAATTAGTTATTTTGCCAAAATTTTTTTTATTCAAAATGCATTCCTTGCGCATCAATACACCGCTGGACAAGCATAGCACATAGATTTTATGTCTAATTTCCTTTTATAGCTAATTTCAGTTTTGGAAAAAGGAAGTAATCACATGGAGATAAGTCAGAATTTGGAGGATGTTGGAACAGACTTGTTTTTTCGCCAAAAATTCACGAACAGCGACAGTTCACATGGTGCGTTATCATACAAAAGAAACCAACTTCCCAGCGCTCGATATTCAGGCCTCACACGAACGATCCTATTCCACAAACGTTCCATAACACCCAGATAATATTCGCCATTAACATTTTGTCCCTGTAGACCGAATTCCCGAAGTATAATTCCTTTAGAATCGTAAAAGCAAATTAACATTGTCTTCTCGAGGGACTTCTGGAATCGCAATTTTTTTGATTTTCGAGAGCCTGCAGATTTCCACGTAGCACTTTGGCGCTTTGTTCGAGGTTCATACTCGAAGCACCAAGTCCCATCACTAGTTACAATCGATTCCAGGAATGTACAGTTTCGTCTGGCTGTTTTGATAAGATCCTCGCAATATTCAACGCTCGCAATTTGTTGCGCTTGCCCGTGATTTTGTGACACGGTGACGAAAGGTTCTGTCGCATTAAACGCTATAAGTTTACGATTCGTTGCTCGATTCCAATAATGATTGTCGTGTTTCGTAGGGGAGGTATACTGTTTTCAGATATTGTTTTAATAGATGGCGCTAGTTTTCCTTAAATTTAAAAAGTTCCGTTACTTTTCCGACATACTGTGTACATTTGAAGTACTATGCTCTTGTAATGACGGGAATCTTTGGTCTCAAAAGAGTCTCAGAAAAGTTAGTTTGTTAGGAATCTTAGTTGGGTAGCCTTGAACGTTACTTTGAATCACTTTGTATAAAGCTTGAAGTACATCTGAAGTACAACATTCATGGAATCTTTGAAGTCTCAAAAGAGTCTCCGGATTAAAAGTTAGTTTGTTAGGAATCTTAGTTGGGTAGCCTCGAACGTTACTTTAAATCACTTTGTACAAAGTTTGAAGTACATCTGAAGTACAATGTTCATGGAAGTACAATTGAAAGTTGAACACCTAAATTTTCATTATTATTAACTATAGATTATACGATTGACACTTAAAAATATTCTGAAACTACTCAAGCTTTCTTCCAACGATTACAAAGAATTCTACGACAAAATTATTTAAAAAAAAAGAAGAGTTTCCGGAAACGAAGAAGAAGGATCTCATAAAAGTCGTTGATCGCTTGCCAGGAGAATTTGCATGCATATCACGGAGCAAGAGGGTACTCGTTGCTCTCCCTGGTTCCGTTAACCACGAATACATGTCAGGTGTCCTTTTGACACGGCACGCTAATTGCTCCGTTGAAATCTCGTACCCGTTACGTAGCCACGAATTAAAATCCCCGTTCCATCACTTTTTCTCGAAATCGTGTCAACTGCCTTCCAATTGTCATCGTTCCGGTATGAACCTGCAATTACTATTCGGCTGTAATTGCGGTGCAAGATTGGCCCAAAAATTGGGAAACATCCTGTACAGATTCTACATACAGTGGAGGACAAAAGTGTTTGTACACTTCAAACGTAATCATACCTTCAAATAAACAGAACAATAGTATTATTAAGTTTTAATCATATATAAGATTTAATCACTGTGTAGACTTTGCGTCATTTGTTGCTGTAAGTGTTTAATATACAGCTTCATACTTAATAATATAAAGAGTATTTTATTTTTGCAGTTCGAGTGTACGAGTTTGTCCAATGTATATTTAATCTGGTAGATAATGGAGTTCTGGTTACTTATTGTTATAACTTGGCAAGCTTCCGACGTTTCGGGCCAAATAGGTACTCGGATTGTACGAAGTAACGCTATAAAATTAAGATTATCTACTTCCATACCTTATCTGAATATGTAGATGTAAAATCGCAATCGACCACAAGAGTATAAATTGCTGATCTGCTTTTTGTCAAACAGAGACGCAGACTATAGAAGGATCGACAACAAAGTATCACGGCAGAAGAACGTAGGATTTCCTGCGCGGCGTCCCAGCTGGAATCTGGCATCTACAGTCCGAATACCTGAAGAAAGATCATTAAAATCTTCGTATCCCGTGGCGCATCCATTACGCCTTAATTTCGCGACTGGCTAAACGAAGTTCGCTTACGATCGAAAACGCCTAGTTACGGATATCGGTTCATAAATAGAATTCCCCGAAGTCGAATTACGGAAGAAATTTCGAGTAGACGCGGTGAAACGATTCCTGTCATTTAGACGGTTTACACAGGTGAAGGAACGAAAAGGAGAAAAAAAAGGAGGCGGGAACTTGGCCGGTCGACGAATTCGAAACGGTCTCACGACACGAGGGAGAGACAACGAAGACAAGGCGGATGAGCACGGCAGCAACGGGCAAGATATCAGGCAGCACAGGTGGAATCTGGTATCTGGCTCTCGGCGAGAGCCGGTGGGACAGCCAGAACGTCGAGGAGGACGTCGAGGAGGATGAGGAAAGAAGGTAGGCAAGAAACGGGAGAAGAAGCGGAGAGAGGAGGATGCGCACCTAAACACCCTTGCGTGTACGCTCGCGCGTTTTCTCCATCCACCCAGAAGCGCGTATGCGTTTCGCCTTAGCCCCTTCCGAGACCCCTTCTGGCTGTAATAATGTGCTCACATATTGGAGTACCCTAAGGAGGCCTAAGAGGGAACGCTGGACCAGCTACGTACAAGCCGAGTCTTTAAGCGTGTGCGTGCGTTAAGCGTGCCCACATGCCCACCAGCGGTATAATAAGAGAAAATAAGTAAAAACCCTAAGGTACGAACCGGAGGGGGCATAGGGCGGCTCGAGGTGGAAGGGGGCAAGAGGGAATGATGCCAACACGGTGGAAGGGCGAGAGGGAGCGCCGTGGCGAACGGCAGGAAGGGGAGAGCTGGAGGTGAACCTGTTCCCGAGGGAGTTCCTTGACCCTCGGGGGAGGGGGGCAGCGAGCCTTCGGACGCGAGAAGCCAGCGGTGTAGCCACCATGATGCCCGCCGGCTAACTCCGTGGGCCCTCCGGTAAACTCGTGGACGAGCGAGATGGCGGACCGCTTCTCTTCGAGCTGCGGTAGGCAGACGGAAAAAGATGAAGGATGAGATGCGGCCGCGGTGAAACGGAGACGGATAATGGAGAAAGAGAGACGGACCAGGCAGCTCCGAGGTATACGTCCGTCCATCCGTGGTCCATGCACTGCTACTAGCCTATTATTGCATGTTTAATACACGACTTTTGTACTTTTTATTCTGCGCGATTTGGTAGCGTTATTGATAAGCAAGGATAGCCTGATTCATGGATAGCCTGATTCATTAATTTTGGATATATATTGCCAATATTTAGTAATCACCGATTTGGTATTGTTGATATAACAACGTCAAATATTCTTGGTCATTGCATGTTTAATACACGACTTTTATACTTTTTATTCTTTGCGACTTGGTAGCATTATTGCTAAGGTGCAAGGATAGTCTGGTTCATTAATTTTGGCCATATATCGAGACTCCCAATATTTCAGTATCACCGATTTGGTATTGTTGATATGACAACATCAAATATTCTTGGTCATTGCATGTTTAATACACGACTTTTATACTTTTTATTCTTTGCGACTTGGTAGCATTATTGCTAAGGTGCAAGGATAGTCTGGTTCATTAATTTTGGCCATATATCGAGACTCCCAATATTTCAGTATCACCGATTTGGTATTGTTGATATAACAACGTCAAATATTCTTGGTCATTGCATGTTTAATACACGACTTTTATACTTTTTATTCTTTGCGACTTGGTAGCATTATTGCTAAGGTGCAAGGATAGTCTGGTTCATTAATGTTGGCGATATATCGAGACTCCCAATATTTCAGTATCACCGATTTGGTATTGTTGATATGACAACATCAAATATTCTTGGTACTAGCCTATTATTGCATGTTTAACCCACAACTTATCTACTTTTTATTCTTCACGATTTGGTAGCATATTATTGCCAAGGTGCAACTATGGATAGCCTGATCGATCAACACTTCCATGCCATTTATTTATCAGATGCATCAGTCAAGACTAACTATTCAAGGCTATAACATTGAAACGAACAAACAAAATTAAAATGTGAGTATTTTATGTTCAGGGATCCTTGATAATGTAACTTATAGTTGGATCTAAATTTCAAGTTAAAAATTATTTAAAATTTGAGTAAGGTGCGTCACATTTGAGCTGTAAGTGCGTCACAAGACTCGTCAAAATAAATTTCAAGTTGAAGAGTATTCAAAATTTGAGTAAGGTGCGTCATATTTGGGCTGTAAGTGCGTCACAAGACTCGTCAAGATAAATTTCAAGTTGAAGAGTATTCAAAACTTGAATAAGGTGCGTCACATTTGAGCTGTAAGTGCGTCACAAGACTCGTCAAGATAAATTTCAAGTTGAAGAGTATTCAAAACTTGAATAAGGTGCGTCACATTTGAGCTGTCAGTGCGTCACAAGACTCGTCAAAATAAATTTCACGTTGAAGAGTATTCAAAATTTGAGTAAGGTGCGTCATATTTAGGCTGTAAGTGCGTCACAAGACTCGTCAAAATAAATTTCAAGTTGAAGAGTAAACATATAGGTATTTAGGAATTTGAAAGTCTGATAATTTAATCGTTTGAGAATGCATAGTTTAAAAATGAAAAAATTGCAGTTCTCAGAGTTCAAGAATGTTGAAGATTGAAAACTTGAATATGTATAAATTAAAAAAGTAACTTGAAAGAAATCTTGAAAGTCGAAGACGTACAAACGTCAACTCGCGAAGTTGTCACTTGTCGACATACGCAGCCATTACGCGTCGCGCGCAAACAAAATGGCGCCCAAAACTCGGACTAGACAGAACCCTAACTGTATCTACGGTTTCAGTCTAACCTCGAATGAACGATCGAGGCAGATCGGTAAAATTTAATTTCGATCGCCGCGGGGATCATTAAATGGCCGGTCGTTTCTCTCCATCGCGAGTGGAAGTGATCGCAATTAGAGTAACGCGATCGGAGCGTTGTTCCGTCTGTAGGATTAATACGACCGGTGAATCGATAACCGATTTCCTTCTAAAGCCCGTTGAAACTCCTAAATCATCCTCGAGACAAAAAGCTTCTGCTTGTCCGTCGTTCCGCTTCGTAGAATAACGTTACGAGAGACGACTAGAAAGGAGTACAGCGAAGAGAGAGGCAGGTCGGTGATAATTTATTGCCATTTAACCGGCCGTCCCTTCGGCTCGCGCGATAACTCGACACGCGAATTACGTGGAACAACGTATACGGGGGCAGAAATTCAATGACGAGCCAATGCCGATGGCACTTCTTGGCTCGCAGATCAGGGTACCGTATCCCGATCACCGCCATAATGACGGTGGACACGCGACAGGGACTGATCCATTATTCATCGTTCGAAATCAGTCTTCCGGAATATACATAATTTCGACGTGGCTCATCCACCTTCTTTCTTCATCAGCTACAGACTTTTTCGCAAAAAATTCGACAACAAAATTAACCATCTACATGCATAGTACACACGTGTACGTTAAGGCAATACCATTAGACAGATGAAAATAAGAACTGCCAAGATCCCACAAAAATTAGCAAAATCCCCAAATTCTGCATGCATAGTACACACACGTACGTTAACCCCTTGCAATACTTTGACGAGTCTCACTCGTGACTCACAATTCAAATGTGACATAACCTTGTCCAAAATTTTGAACACTCTTCAACCTGAAATTTAGGTGCAACTACAATTTGTATAGTCAAGAATCGCTGAATAGAAAATGCACGAACATTTTAATTTTCATTGTTTGTTTTAATATTATAGCTATGAATAGTTAGTTTTGACTGACGCGTCTGGCAAATAAATTGTAAGGCAAGGGGTTAACGTGAGTTCTTAGATTTAAGAACCTAACACATGGATCTATCGTTCCAAAATGGAACTGCTAATTTCCCACAAAAGTTACCAAAATCCCCAGATTCTGAATGCATAGTACACGTACGTTAATACAACGTGTAGCAATATAAGCCTTAGATTTAAGAACTTAAAACAAGGTATCCATCTATCGTTGCAAAGTGGAACTGCCAAGATCTGAAAAATGACAAAACTCCCATAATTCTGAAAATTATAAAAATACCCAACACTTCAAAGTCCATCGAAAAGTGCAGCCTCCCAAAACTACCCAAAAATCCCGAAAATCGGTTATTTATGAAGCGGACTATATCTCTCCCACGGGCTGCTCTTTTTATCCCTTGAACCCCGTATCATTATGCTCCACGTAACCGTACATTTAATAACTTTAATTCTCGGAGGCCGGCATTCGAGCGGGACGAAAATTGGATGCATCCTCGCGACGCTCGATCTCGACGGCTCTTCGGCGAGCATCGCTTCCGTGCACGAAACGCCGTCGGCGCTGCCTGGGAACCTGGTGCACGGCTCGATCGACCAAATCCATATCGTCGAGCCTGAAGAAACGCAGACGAACGGGCTCGTTCACGGTCTACGTGTGTGTGTCGTGCAAACGGCTCTCGGCCGAGGTGAGAATACACAACCGCGGCTCGCGATGAAACCGATTGCAAGATATACGCGAGCGGATACGTGCATGGACGCGAGCACCGTCGCGGATATAGCAAGGCCCCAGCATCCACAAGTGTACGATCGTGTAATTCCTTACAGAACTGACGCGAACTCTACAGGTAGGGATACTTCATGATGAAGATTTGCTAACTTGGAGTTTATTTCATTTTCAGATAGTTAGTCATCTGGAGCTATTCTTAGAGGATTATATCTGGAAATTCTTATGATTAGGTGCACAATTCCCACGGTACCTAAAGTATCTCTAGTTTTATAGGATTTGTCTTTAGAAGTTTGTATTTCTAGCTCGACAGCATCTGTGTTTTTGGAGATTCTGGTATAGCTAGTTACATAGCATCTCTGTAGATCAGTATACTCATAGATTTCATTATTACTGCATCCTTAATAGTATATTCCTAGGTCTTCATATCCGTACACACATGGACAACATCATTCTTACATTCCTAATAGTAGTAGATCTTCATATCCATACAAACTGGACCACATCATTCTTACATCCCTAATAGTAGTAGATCTTCATATCCATACACACCTGGACCACATCATCCTTATATCCCTAATAGTGCTAGATCTTCATATCCATACACACCTGGACCACATCATCCTTAAGTCCCTAATAGTAGATCTTCATATCCATACACACATGGACAACATCATCCTTACATCCCTAATAGTAGTAGATCTTCACATCCATACACACCTGGACCACATCATCCTTACATCCCTAATAGTAGATCTTCACATCCACATACTCCTAGATCCCACCATGTCCACATCCTTAAGAGCACATCTATCTTCACATCCTCAAATCTCCACATCCCTAAATCCACAAATGATCAAATTCCTACACCACCAAACCCTTAAATTAACGTCTTGAACCTCTTAAATTAACGTCTAGATCTCGAAATCCCACAGTCTGAAGGTTCTACGTCCCAAACTCGTGAAATCCCAAAATTCTCCAAGCATCGTGAAATAAATCTCGCTGGAAGTTACATCGTCATATAAAATCTCGTGATTCGATCCAAATGAAGCATTCGCCCAATTCCGTGAATAAAAATATCAGTGAAAGCTTGGAGCGCCACACGTACCCCAAGCGTACAAGTGTCTACACCAAGCCAGTCTCCTCGGAGCAATTCCCCATAGCATGATTCGAGTAGATCGGTGTTAGTGTAGGCTACCAAGTATCCGCGAGCCACGTATCAGCAGAAACGAAGGGCCAAGCATCGTGTAGTATAAAGAGGCATCGAGGAGCGAGAGGATCCATGGGGTCGGGGCGAAGAGCGGACCCTGTGATATGGTGGGAGTCGTCGATGCTCCCGCAGGAGGGTGGGGAAGGTGACGGGAAGGGGATGCTATCGAGCACGGGAGAAAGAGAGAGGGCGACAGGTGGTTCTGTAAGCGAAGAAGAGACGGAAGGTAGGGAAAGAGAAGGAATGAGAGTACGGTCTAAAGGGGGGGGAGGCCC